ATGCAGTGGCAGTTAAAGCTAAGCCCCACTGAGTAATGCCTGTGCAATGCAGTTTGCTGTGCCACTTGTGAATTAAATGCGTGTTAGAGTAATTATCTCTGGGGTGGGCTTTCACTGGCCTTTCCTCACCCAGCCTGAGCGAAGGGAAGGCGGCACAGCCAAAAGACTACACCAGGTGATGTAGGATGGATTACCTATTGGGATGGAGAAGTCTCCATGATTCCCTCCTACTGCCACGTCTGCTGGTTTTAATGGAACAAGTATTGTAGCATCAAAGGCTCCGATTCTGCAGGTGGATCTTAAAGACAAACCTGGATTACCTATTGGGATGGAGAAGTCTCCGTGATTCCCTCCTGCTGCCGCGTCTGCTGGTTTTAACGTAACAAGTATTGTAGCATCAAAGGCTCCAATTCTGCAGGTGGATCTTAAAGACAAACGCCTGTTGCTGTGTGAAGTGCCTCTGGCCTCTCGTGAGCTGCAGGCAAGCGGCAGCACGGACGTCTGCTGGGCTGGGATCAGGGGCCCGCGTGCCCCATCGCTGTCTTAGCATAGTGTTGTAATAAGGATTGAAATTTGAAGTGGCAGCTAGTGCAAACCTGCCGGGAACGTGTCATGAATGTTTATCAGCCCTGGCATAAATCTATAAACTTACTTCTCAGTGTAAATGATTTAAACCTTTCTTTTGCTACCCTCTCCCCTTCCCTTGGTGGATCCTTTGCGTGTTCCCCTTGAGCCTGGGAGTGGGCCCAGGCAAAGGCATTTTTTGTGTAGATATTTTCAAAGGTACTTGGGTACCTTGCACGATTTTGTTAGCATTTAAAAGCTTGTTAAAAGCTTAATTTTAATTGACTTTTGAAACTTTGAACTTATCTGAATGCCGTAGAAAAGCACATTCCTTGTGCTGTTCAGCTGTTACATGGCTCATCTATTTCTAAGGTACATGGACAATAAATTTTGCTTTGAGTTGTTGAGTATTAGGCTTTGTTCTGGTTTTCTCTTGCCATGTGTATAACAAATATGCATCATAAAAAGCCACATATACCAGCACTGCAACATACCTCGAGTCTCGTAGAGGATTTTTGAGATGCTACGTCTTATCTCTCGGCTCTCAGCTCACGTCTTATCTTGGCTGCTTACCCAGGTTTAACATAAGCCAGCTGGAGGAATGGCTGCGTGGGAAGAATCTGCAGCAGAGTGGAGCAGCACAAACTTTGGAGCCCTTGATTCAGGCGGCACAGCTTCTGCAGCTGAAAAAGAAAACCTCGGAAGATGCCGAGGCCATCTGCTCCTTGTGCACGTCGCTCACGACGCAGCAGGTAGGGAGCAGGGCAGAGATTTACACCAAAGGGTACTGATAATTAAAGGAGTGGGAAGGGGTGGTCTCCCAGTGCCAGCTCTTCATTGCCCAGACTCAGCATGCCATTCCCGCGGTGGGGACAACTTGTCCTTTTCAGGACTGACGTTTGGTATTGACCCGTCAGAGGTGGTCATTGCGGTGGCTCCTCT